GCATGCATTACCATTTTATCTTTAAAAAAAGTAGCATATATCAAAATAGATGTCATGGCTCAGAAGGATAGTTATAGCAACACCCGTTATAGTATATGTAACACTCACATCTGCATTAGACTGTTACTATCTACAACGGAAACACGTTATAGCTGCTGTAATTGAATAAAGTGGGTTATGGTAAAGAAAAGTGTGTTTGGTAAATTGGAGAAAAAAAAGAAGAAAAAACACTTTAAAAATCAAAATAGAAATAGATTAATATTATCCGAATTCAATTTTTTATTAAGAAAATAATGTCAGATGTTGATCAAATCAAATTTAGAAAATGAATTTTATAATATCTGGTGTGTCATTTATTAAGAATTGCTTGTATCATCATAATGTAACGGTTCTTATAACAGGTAACTACAGCAAACGATATTGTTTTCGGAGGGAAGAAATTGAGATCCGTGATCCGAATCTCCCAAAGCATCGGATGTGATGTCATAAATCCGATATGTACCCGATCCAAAACCTCGGACGTGGATCCACGAGCTTATCGGATCCGGATCCCGATCACACTGCAAAGCCGGAGGGGCGGGCGGGGAGAGGTGCGGAAAAGAAAAAGAAGGAAAAGCTTCGTACGCATCACACCGTGACATGATGACTCGGATGCGCACGTTAGCTGCAACCCCCGGTCAAGCGCTCCCACCCGTTCTCCGGCGCACGATAGACGCGGCCTTCGCATCGTTTCAGGTAAAATGCGCCGAATCCCTCCCCCTTCTTTTTTGGCTCTCCCAATCCCCGGATTACACCGATCTCTTCCATCTCTCTCTCTCTCTCTCCCCCTCCCTCATCGCGTTGCGGAACCCCTGCACCCAAATCTCTCCCGGAATTCCCTCGATCTCGTAATCTCCGTGTTGCTTCGTCTGCCTCCCCTATCGATCGATCTTTTCCCCGATCTCTACTTGCTCGTCGACCTCGGCCCGGCGCAGTTAGGGTTTCCCCTCGCGCTCTTGTAGGGGTATCCAGCCCGCGGAAGGGGGAGCAGACGACGGATCTGAAGGCCGGTCGATCGTTGGGTTGTTGTTTGTTCTAGAGTTTGATTCGGTGGAATTGTAGACGGGTAGGGTGGAGGGGAATTGATGGTTTGCGGCGGCGGCGGCGGGGGGATCGGACACGCCAAAACAGGGACGATGAAAGGCTATTCCAGGGCCGGAAAGTGAGGAGAGGAAATTGCGGCGGCACATGTGGCAGGTCTTTGCGCCCGGGACAGAAGCATCGGCAGCATCGTCAACAGCTCCTCCTCTTCTAGCTTTTGCGGATAACCCCTCCTCGGAGTCAGATTCCTCTCGGTGCTCGTGCGATTCCTTCCTAAAGGTGTCTCCTTTCGTGGGTTCATCCGTCTTTGTGTGTGAATTAGGGGAAAAGCTGAACTCCGATTGATCAGAAGGATTTGAGTTTTGATTTCTGTTTTATGGGCATTTATGGTGCTTCTCGCTGGTTTTTCGTCTTACTTCTCTAGTTCTATGGGTTGTTTGTCGACTCTTAATGCTTTTCTTGACTGTTCGTTATATTGTTTGGATTTAAATCCGAGGACTTTTTCTTTTTTCCGACTTTTGCTTCTCTCTGTTATTCAAGGTTTGTGCCCTTTCTATTCCCATGTAAGGCATATAAGACGAGGCTTTTGAGAGATTAGCATATTTCTGCCGACAGAAATATGATTTAAATGGGTTTTATTCTTTGAAGAGAGTTCTAGTGTTTGTGTGCTTTTTGTTCTTGTTGCTGTTGACCTTAAGGACTTTAATTTTCGTGTAGGACGAAATCTCAGGCACGGATGGTGGAGCCTAATGAGCGTGTTACTTCAGATGGCTTGTATCAAATTTTAACTTTGGGATGAAAAGTATGATACCGTTATTTCAATGGCATACTGGAGATTTTGTTTAGACAAAGATTTCTGATTTTTGGTGTTGGAAATGGATTCTGAATATGATTTTGTTGAGCTCTGATGTCTCAGTTTTGGTGGTACAGATAATCTTGATGTTTGTGGTTATTATTCTGAGACTTGTTGGCCTAAACCTCCTTTAGAATCCTGCCAGCCTCATGCAAATTTATGGAGTGTTAGACCTTTCAGCTTCTTTTTTTTTTTTGAATTTTATGAAACAGCTTGTTGCATTCAAATTTTAATTGGCTCTGGTTTTTTAACATATTCTTTCATGGTTCACATCATGTAGAAGTTGGTTGCCAGTGGCTCCAATGTATCATCTTTCAGTTGACTCCGATGATGGGACAAAGCTCATGGGTCAAACTTAAGGTTCCATAACTTTGTGGTCTATCATTCCGAGATCCAGTTTGTGATTGGGCTTAGGTGGCTTTTCCAATAAATTTTCTATTTGGTTTCTTTTTGCTAAATCTACCATAGCAACTAAATTTATTAAGGATATAGCTTGCCAACATAATCCTGTAGTCCTAAACCTATTTGGTCTGCTCACGTTTTTGTAAGTCGCTTGTATTCTAATTTCTGATGATGACATATTTTCTTTCTGTTTCTTATATGCTCAAGTTTTTGACTTTTTCTTTGTTTGGTGATAATTGTACAAGGTTTTATGTTGTTTTTTGTTAATGAGTATCGATAAGGTGGTACTGTAATGCTCACTTATCCCTGTTTTTTATTTTCTTGTCTTATTTATTTTTTTATTTTAACTGTCTTGGGTGGTGCATGTTTTACTCATAACTACTTGTTGAGATTTTTGGGTCGGACATGTGGAGCTGATGTAAAACTTATATATTTATGTTTACCATGTTAATATAAGCAACTAATGGCAGGTAATTGATGATAAAAATGTTTTTTTTGTTATGCTTAATATTAGATATAATAGGAGGCAGTTGATGATGAAGATGTATTAGCTTCAAACAAGGATGCAGAACAAAGTTAACCCATCCTCAATCCAATGGTTGTTTAGAGTTGAAGGATTAGTCCTGCATTTTGAGATGCTTCACAGATTTCTAATATGTGTAGCTCGTGTTGAAATTTGTCTGTAAAACCTGTCTTCAATATATCGTACTTTTCAACATGTCTTTATTGTTTTAATGAAATGCTGTATGATTCAAATTTTAAGACCACATTTTGTTAGTGCAGCTGGAAGTTGCATATAACTATTGAGTTTTTTTTTCTGCATTACTATCTGCTCCCAACAAGGTGAAAGAGAACATATTCGTCATGTTGTCACAGTGATGACAACTTTAAAATATAAGGCAGTATATTTTCTTTTGTTTGGGGCAGCTTTATATGGTTTTGTTCTACTGTTAGTCTATATTTTGAGTGGAACCAATATTGATTTTTATTCTCTTTTGTTCTTTCACCACAGCCTGTTAATGTTCTGCACTTTGCAGGTCGGGTGTAAAATTCGTCTGTGGTTTTGCTCTTTGCTGGCTGTCAATGCACCACCTTTCCTTGTAGTAGTTCATTGGTTTATAGAAGGAAGGGGGGATTACCTTCGTTTGTGTTAATTGGCTTTACTGACCAGCTGCACCAAAGGTGTATTAGGTGAAAGCTCCTCCCAACAAAGCTTTTACTCAGTCCAAGGAGTTGTGATATCTGCAGCTTCATTGCTTTATGTATGTGAAGTTGCATTTTTATGCAAGTGCGTCGAGCTTCCAGCAGGGTTATTTTCATTTATATGCAGATGAGAAATGCCACTGCTGACAATTGCTTGTGATAGTTGACTGATCAAGATTATATTAATGTTAGTTCTGCCTCCTTCCAATGTTTCTGCTCTGAGAAATATACTGCTTTCATTTTGGTGTTCTTCTAGATTAACTGCTGATTTGTTACCTCTTATGGTTCATTTGTTCTTCTCAGGAATGACAGGAGCAGCTTCTGGATAAAACTCGAGTAGAAATGCACACAGCACTTCAGTCAGGTGGGCGTTCTCCTAAACCACTTAATGGTCCGTCCGGTGCACAACAGTTGAAATCTGGTTCGGAGAGTGACCATAATACTGGCCCTTCTCTCCCGTCACACTCTAAGTCAAAAAAGAGGGACAGGAGTGATCAGTGCACAGAGCCTATCAAGAGAGAGCGGCCTTCTAAACCAGATGATGGTGATTCTATTGACTTGAAGTCTGATAACATGATCAAGGCAGAAATAGTCAAAATAACAGAAAAAGGTGGACTTGTAAGCTCCGAAGGGGTTGAGAAATTAGTGTACTTAATGCAGCTTGATAGAACTGATAAAAAAATAGATGTTGCAAGTCGGATATTGGTGGCAGATGTGATTGCAGCCACTGATCGATATGATTGCCTTAACAGGTTTGTGCAGCTTCAGGGTGTGCCAGTCTTGAATGATTGGCTCCATGAGGTTCACAAATGTAAGGCTGGTGATGCTAGTAATCCTAAAGAAAGTGATAAAGCTGTCGAGGACCTTATCTTGGCTCTTCTTCGTGGACTGGCTAAATTGCCTGTGAACCTTAATGCTTTGCAGACTTGTAACATTGGTAAATCTGTGAATCATTTGCGGACCCATAAAAACCCTGAGATCCAGAAGAAAGCTAGGAGTCTTATCGACACCTGGAAGAAACGAGTTGATGCAGAATTTGCAAAGATCAGTGATGCAAAATCTGTTGCATCAGGCCAACCTGTTTGGCAAGTCAAGCCAGGTTCTTCTGATGTTTCTCATGCAGGAAGTAGACGTGCTGGATCAACTGATATGACTTCAAAAAGCCCTGTAACTCCAACCACATTGTGTAAAACTCTGCCTAGTAAGCCTGGACATTCAGATGTTATTGTTAAGTCAGAAACACAAGGAACTTTGAAAATGGGTTCAACCTTAGTAACATCTGTTCCAGCTGGCTCAAAGGATTCACTTTGCAAAGCATCTGCTAACACTGGGGCAGAGATGCTGCCAACAGCAGTCAAAGAGGAGAAGAGCAGCAGTTCCAGTCAATCTCAGAACAATAGCCAGTCTTATTCAAGTGATCATGCAAAAACAGTAGGTTCTTCATGGAAGGAAGACACAAGGAGTTCGAGTGCTGGGTCAATAAATGCTACTAAGGTTGCTGGTGGTTCATCTCGTCATCGAAAATCTAGCAATGGGGTTATGGGGACTAGTACTTCTGGATCTCAGAAGGAAACTAATTCAAGTAAATCTGGTTCTCTCTACAGGGCTACAGCATTCGAAAAATCATCACAATCAGGACTGACATGTGACAACCCAATTGATCTGCCTGTTGTAGATCATGGGAATAGCCACAAGCTCATTGTCAGGCTTCCTAACCCTGTCCGGAGTCCTGCACGAAGTGCAAGCGGAAGTTCATTTGAGGATCCATCAATTTCGGGTAGTAGAGCATCATCTCCTGGGGTCTCCGACAAACATGAGCCCACTGATCGTAGAGTAAAACTTCATCGGCCTGGTACTGCCGCAGATGCTAAAACAGAGTCATGGCAGAGCAACGATGTCAAAGAACTTCCTGTTGGAGTTGGAGGTGACAGATCACCTGCAGCTGATGAACACATCAGGAATGCTGAGGAGACTGGGAAGGCTATAGAGGCTCCAAGAGCTGTATGTTCATCATTTGGAAACGAAAAGGGAATTCTCTGTACTGAATCCAAGACGAGTTCCTTTAGCTCTATAAATGCCTTGATTGATAGTTGCGTCAAATATTCTGAAGCTAGTGCCTCATTGGCTGTTGAAGATGATGGGATGAATCTACTTGCTAGCGTGGCAGCTGGAGAAATCTCCAAGTCTGACTTAATTTCTCCCACTGGCTCACCTGGAGCTTCACCTGCAACAGAGGACCCATCAACAGAGGCCAAGTCAAGGTTATCAAGTGATGATGATGCAGCCCAGAGCAATGTTAAATTAGATGAAGCCGCTGATGCAGACTCTATTAAGCAAGGTAAGACTGTTGGTTCTATTTTAACTAGGGATGTCTCGTACCTGGACGGGACCAACTTTTCACGAAATAATGGAACTGATGTCTCCTTGGAAGGTATTAACATGACAGGTATTCAGACTGAGCTATCTCCTGCTGCTGTAAATTCTCATAAAGCTGAAGACTCCTGTGCTAAATCGGAATGGAAAGTTGAGGAAGAAAGAGATGGAAATTTTTCTGTTTTCAAACCAGCTGAAGTGGATAAGCGTGATAGTGATGGAGCTTCCATACTTGAGGAAAAGCAGATGACAGATATGCAGGTTTTGGACCATTATACAGGTTGCAAGCTTAAAGAAACAAGCTTATCAGCAGAGGAAAGCAAACCTATTGAATATGCTCATCAGAAGATTGAAGATGGCAGCATATGTACCTCTGAAATTGTTTTCAATGATGGAGATGACCTTGACATTGCTGTTTCAGGTATTAAATCAGAAAAGCTGGTTGTTGAGGAATCCCAATCATGTCCTACAGCAAAAAGAATACCTGAGGATGCAACTTCGTCTGACCAGCAGCAACATCTAAGGACAGAGTCTGCGGAGAGAAGTGTGGATGCTGGTATTTCATTGGATTCTCCTGATGTTACTTCATCTAAAGATCCTGATAAGTCTAGGATTTGTAAGCCTGATGACCTGAGTGTCAGTCACTTGGAGTCGAATGATAAACAGGGGAACAACAGCCTCAACTCATCTAAGCTTGACGAATCAGTTAGACCTGCAATCAGCTCCTGTGGTGCTGCTGTGGTAGTTGAAGACTTGAAAGTAAAGGAGTCTCATAAAAGTTCAAGCATGGAATCAGCCAGTCAAGAACCACCATCAAGTTTTACAGCCCAAGAGACTGAGCGTCGATCAAAGTCTGCTGGTCCTAGGGTATCTGGGGCTGTTGCAGATGTGCGGGAGGATCTTGCATCATCTGTAGAGGCCTCTTCATTGGCTGTTGAAGCTGCTGTAGATGTTGCCAGTAAGCTTGACTTTGATTTGAATGAAGGCATCATTGGAGATGATGGAAACCAATTTGAGACTGCTGTCTCAGTTTCAACTGTATGTTCCTCTACAGTTCATTTGCCCAACCTGTCTCCTTTTGCAAATTCCACATCAACCGGTTTGCCTGCTCCAATTACAGTAGCTGCACCAGCAAAAGGACCTTTCGTTCCACCTGAAAACTTACTTAGGAGCAAGGGTGAACCTGGATGGAAAGGCTCAGCTGCCACTAGTGCTTTTCGACCAGCGGAACCACGAAAAGTTCTGGAGATGCCGCTTAATACTCCTGGAATGTTGTCACCATCTGATTTTGCAGGGAAGCAGTGTCGTCCTCTGCTTGATATTGATCTGAATGAACCTGATGAGGGAGTTCTTGAAGACATGGCCAACCTGAGCTCTGCTAAGACCATGGGCTCTGAATCTGGGACAACAAGTAATCTTGATGCATCCCCTCGAATTTCTGGGGGACTTGATCTTGATTTAAATAGAGTTGATGAAGGTATGGAAAATGGCCAGTTCTTAGCGTGTGCCTCCCATGGTATGGCGGTGCCACTTTTATCTGTAGGACCAGCATCCGCAGAATTTCCTAATAGGGAGTCCAATATGTTAAGGGACTTTGATTTAAATAATGGACCGGGCCCTGAAGAACTTTGTTCTGAACCTATAACTAGGAGTCAAAATACAAAAAACACTAGTAGTGTGCCATTCTTACCTCCAGTAGCCAATGTTAGGATGAATGCTGTTGAAGCAGGAAGTGTGTCATCATGGTTTCCTCCTGGTAGTTCCTATCCTGCTGTTGCTATACCATCCTTCTTGTCGAACAGAGGAGAGCAGTCTTACCCAATTGTTGCAGCACAAGGAGCACAAAGAATTTTGGGGCCAGTTACGGCTAGTGGCCCCTTTGGGGGTGATGTTTACAGGGGTCCTGTGCTTTCATCATCTCCAGCCATGGCGTTTACTCCAGCATTTCCTTATGCTGGTTTCACTTTTGGCTCCAATTTTCCGCTTGCGTCAAATTCATATTCAGGTGCTTCAGCATCCTTTGTTGATTCGTCTGGTGCTAGTTCAGGTTTCCCTGCCATTCCTTCCCCACTTGTTGGACCTGCTGGTGCCATTTTGTCAAATTATCCAAGGCCTTATGGTATAAACCTTCCGGAGGGTGGTGCTATTGGTGGATCTAACAACACTCGGAAATGGATTTCGTCAGGTCTTGATCTAAATTCAGGTCCAGGAAATGCAGATATGGAAGGAAAAGATGAGAGGCTGCCTTTGGCATCGAGACAACTCCTAGTTGCAACCTCCCAGGCTTTCACGGAGGAGCAGCTACGAATGTATGCGGTGGTGCCGGGTGGGGGTTTGAAGAGGAAGGAGCCTGAAGGGGGTTGGGATGCAGACAGATCTGCTTACAAGCAACTCTCATGGCAGTGAAGAGAGATTAGAATCAGGGAATCATCAGTAGCATCTGAATACGGTGAGCTATCCGCTCTCTTTTGTTATCTGTGATATGACTGTGTTAATGACCTGTGTGGTATTCTAATATTTGTTTTAACTGGTTTGTCTTTGTTTCACGGGCACAGGAGTATGTGGGAATCCTCTTTTTATCGGCCTGCGCGCTAAATTATGCTCACAAACCCACATGCCACCTGATGAATCTCAAGTATCATGTGGAAATCTTTCAGAGGGTGCCCGAATTTGCTATCTTTCATGTACATGTTGAGATATGATGCTTTCTTGAAATCAATTTTCATCGATTCAGCAGTTCTTTTGTATGGCATTTCTTTAAGCATGTTCAAGTTCTGAGGATATCTTCAGAGGGCGGTGACAGAACATTGTCGCAGTCTTTCCCACTCGTCATCTCTTCCACCAGGGCTGCTGCAATCAGGTGCTTTCTTCTCTTGAAGGCGTTAATGTAATCCGCCTGTCTTTCCCATCATCTCTTCCACCAGAGCTGCTGCAATCAGGTGCTTTCTTCACTTGAAGGCGTTAATGTAATCCGACCGTGGCCGGTTGGCAGTTCCTGCAGCTTAAGATCTGCCTTTGCTGCTCCAGAGGGTCTGGGGACTTTTGCATTTGGTGAATGCCCGCCCAGACATCACCATCCGTTGCTTGTATTTAGTTTTCATGAATTGTGTCATCATAAAATTCCAATCTCAAGTTTTGTCACTCGAAAACTTTGTTGAGCAACCGCGGTGGCCTGAGTTGTGAAGCTTATGTTTCTTGCTTCTGACTTGTCTGTTCTTTCCTTGCCCTATCAATCCGATGCCATGGGCGGATGTGAATGACAGAATCCATTCTGCCATTTTGTCGTGCTGTTTTCTTTGTTCTTGCAGAGCTGCTTGTGTTTATTCTAGACCAAACTTTTTTACTCGGAAGATGGGGTGTTGGAAGGATGGTTGCTTTCTCTGTGTTAGTGCAACTTTCTTCACACGGAGCTCTCAACATACAGATTCAAGCCCACATGTGCATCACCAAAAACGAAACAGGTTGACCTTTATCGTTCTCCCTCTCTTGATCTATCATCTAGAGGAGGAGGATAATATCAAGAGAAGGAAAAGTGATGAGATTGAGATTTGATCATCTCTCTCTCTCTCTTAATCTATCATCTAGAGGTGGAGGAGGACAAGTGATTAAATGAGATTGCTCTTTGTTATTTATTGAAGTCTTCTTTATTAACTAAATTAGTTGATATCATACCACTACAAAAAAAAAAAAAAAAAAAAAAATCAGTTCTCAACTCTCAATCAATCAGCTGAGTCAGTTAATATCATCAAAAAATAATTATAATAAACTAATATTATAGAAATAATAAGTGTTTTCTTAAGGATAGTGGGTAATCGAAAATTTCAAGATTTGTGACATCATACATATATTGAACCATCAATTTGTAAGGTATGATAGACCTTTTTGTTGCAGGTGGAATTCAAAAATATACCGATCATTGGGGCACGTGTGGATATCCGATCGATACCTCGACCTGTATCGGATCCGATACCCGAAAAGGTGAACTGTGGCAGTAACTTTTGTTGCCTTACCGGCCATGAGGTCGTCGGGGCCCACATTGACTTCCGAGGCGCAGCGGCCGGGCTTTTCTCCGAGCACGTGAAGGGCAAGAAAGGGCCGGCGCAGAGGAGTCCACGAAAGCCAATACGCTCAGAAACGGCACCGGCATCCTCTGAGCCGCTGCCAGCAGCTTTATTCGCGCGAGATCGACAGCGATGATGGCGACGGCCACCGCCGCCTGCGCATCAGGAATACGCGTCGACAAAAGCGTGATAACGACAATGGAGAGAGAGGATGCCCGTGATGAGACGGATCCACACCACCTGTGTCTGTCCCAGCACTTCATTATTCCTCTACTGTCATCTTCGTGTCCTTTTCCGTCTGACATCTCCTCGCCTGCCCGACCAACCAGAAAAGACACACCGAAGAGAGAGAAAAAGAGAGAGAGGGATTGGTCCCCGCTCGGACATCTTGTTCCCCCATCACATGTGGTGGCGACCGTGGAAGGGACACGGTGCCGAGACTGGTGGGTGGATCGATGGCCTCCCATCTCTCTCTATCTCTCATTCTCTATCTCTCTCCTCCGTTCACCCCCACGACATGACGGCAGTCCTTTTCCTCCTCCTCTCTCCTCGATCGACCAAGCCGAGTGCCGTGCGTGCACGCTGTTGGAGGAAGCCGTGGCCTTTAATGGTTGCCGTCGTCGTTTCTCGAGCGACGCATGCTGAACGAGGACCGCTCGTTTTCTCAGAACGTTGGATGCCACGCCCAAAGCTACGGAGGTGGGAGGTGACGACACGAATGGTGGCCCCGTTTTCTTTCGTCGATGGCCATTACATACGAAAACGATTCCTATTATTAGTATATATATATATATATATATATATATATATATATATTTTAACGATATAACTTCAATTATATGTATATATATACATATAAATATAATCTTGATATGTACACGTTGTGAACATAAGATATAACATATAGATCCCATTAATGTTTATAATTATATTATAATAAATGTGACACTCCCTGCTATACATACACCCTCTTAACATTTGATGTAAAGATTTATGTTGTTGAACAGAGCTTCTGATGGTCGATTCTAATGGAGTTTCCCACACGAAACCGCAACCTGAGAGCGAGCCTACAGGAAAGTGATTTCTTTGCCTTAATCATGGTGATAGTGATGGTGATGGGTGATGGGTGATGGGATGTATTGTTTTGCTCATGACTTCGACATTACTCCTATTCTTCAAGGAAATCTACCAAAGACGAGAAAACGAAATCAAATATCGTCATTCTCTTTTGTTCCTTTGCTTCTTTTTATCTCCATGTTTCATGGAAGAAGCAACGGTCACACCAATTCACAAAGAAAAACTTGGGGTGCAATTTACAAGCTAGAAAAGATTGACATATTCCTATCAATTCAAACAACATCATGATTATATTACATGAGATGGACTCGCACGTTTCTATCATTAGACCAAAGACTTTGGTGGCCTTTTGATGTGTGTGGCTCGGAAACCTGAATGAACACATACCCCAGCGTTCTTGAGCAGCCAGCCACTCTAAATCGAACGAGGGAAGAAAACCTAACGTCGAGTTCAACTTGGTCTTCTTAGTTCCAAAAAACCAGCATTTGTGAACAGTATGATGTCTCCACGATCTCGCTGTCATATTTGTTGTGTGAATCACTCCCTGCTACAGGAAATCTTAGCAGTTAAAAGGTTAAGTAATTACGGTCATACCATATGTAATAATTGTGAGCAGGCAAAGTCATCAGCTTCCACCTTCATCTCCAATTGTATAGCTGCAATAGAAGATTTCATATCCACTTCTGCCAACCTACACATGGGAGCAGCGATTGATGAAAGATCCAAGTTGAAACCACGTACCATATGAAATGCTTGTGATCTGATCATTTCTTTTGCATTATACCGTCCGCCAAGTTTCAAAATTTGCCTACATCACAGACCAACCAAAATATTAGTGGGTTTCAGAGAGAATTAAAACCATGTTTGTAGGCCAATTTTATGTCGTCAATAAGACTGACATCTAATGTGAAACCTCGCAGCCAGGGAAGGCTTGCAAGTAGCTGATGAGAAAGGTTTCACCCAAATCCAGATCGAAACACTCTAGAGTTATTCAACATGTCTCGCCTGATGGAAAAGACCCATCATGATGCATACACCATATAATTGCATGTAATACATTTTTTTTCCATGAATATAATCAATCAGCAATTAGGTTAGAAAAAAGAACTGTCTTTTGTGGGAGAAATCCTTTCCCCCTGAGTTATCTTCCTCTTTGCACAATGACCTGTGCCCGTACTTATGTAGAGTTTTGGGATCTTAATAGATTTGTTTTGGGAAAAAAAAAAAAACATGTTTGTAGTTGCAACAAAACTGAATCATCCGATTCCTATTAAACATGTTTGTAGTTGCAACAAAACTGAATCATCCGATTCCTATTAAACATGCTTATCTAGATATAAAGATGATGTCTTCCTTTTTTACCTCAATCTATGAGGAAGACAACAGATGGCAGATCTTTTTTTTTTTCTTTTTTCTTTGAGAAAGAAGAAAAAGATCACCATTCATTACTCAATTAGTGAAACTATATCAGCTCTAATTGCATCCCTCACAAAAGGAGGAAGCGAAGCCATTTATCTCAGATTGGATCCAATCATCTGCTAATGTTATTGACCACCCTAAAAGTTTTCAAAGCGCAGAAAGGTTACAGGCACTGATGATGACTACCGTACTACATGGGTCAATGCATCCTCCAATGGTGTGTGATCGGTGATTCCAAATAATTGTTTTCATTTTTCTAGGTAAACTATAAGCCTCTTGAAAACCTTTCAGCTAAGATGAGAAACCGAATTCACGGTTACTCTATTTTTGTACAGGAATCACTTGTGTGCCAAATTCGAGTGCCTCTCTCTGGTTCAGTTCAGTGTTTTCTCCCTCTTCATCAAGCTTATTAGCTGCTAGGGCATGTCATAGATGGCCTCCATGGTTGAAGTGGGAGTGGAGGTGAAGTCCTCCCCAGACAAGTTCTGGACAGCCATTCATGCCTCCACGAAGCTAATCCCCAGGATCTTACCTCCCCATCACAAGAGCATTCGGATCATTGAAGGTGATGGCAACAGTGTTGGCACCATCCGGCTCCTGAAATATGCCCAAGGTGAGCACATCAGTCCCTTCACTTCTCTAACCCTTCATCTTTCTTGTGGAGATCCATCGATGGCAGATCAGAAGAGATCCATCAATTGTTGACATGCATGCCTTTTTGACAGGAGTTCCACTGATCACGTTTGCAAAGCAGGCGGCTGAGGAGCTCGACGATGCCGATATCACCGATAGTGAGATCGTGAGCTTCTACAAGACCTTCAAGACCACCCTAAAGGTGGAAGCCAGAGGTGACAGCAGCCTGGTTAAATACTACATTGAGTATGAAAAGGTGTATGAAGAAGTTCCTGACCCACATCTCACCCAGGAGATGGCAGTCAAACATTATAATGAACTGTTCGATCTATCCTAATTAAATTAATCAGCCTACTTTCTACAACACATAATCTCATGAGCATGTGCATACGTGCATGAATAAATAATGCATGAAAGAGTTGAAATCATGTAGGTCGAACATCATCTTTCTTTCTTTTTTTTCTGAAATTAAATCTGCATTATCTCAATAATATCAATGAAGATGGAGGATCTAACCTTTGTGGTTCTTCTCCGCAAGAAATTCAACGTCATCGAGAGCATTCCTGGCTCGTCCTCCTACCACACCTATTGGCATCTGCATCAGTGGCACACCATTGATCGGGTGCCCACCATCGAAGCTCTACTTCTAAAGCAGCCTTAGATAAAACCTCCAACACCAACGTCCTCATCAGGTTACTGCAGCAAATTAGAGTTCATACCATGTCAAACACCTTGCTTGGTTGAAGAGTGTGGTCAAGGAGGAGATGGGAGAGAGAGAAGTATGGTAATGGGAGGAGCATGGAGTTGGGTGGTGATTGGAGCAGCAGCAGCAGCTCCATTTCCTACTACTCCAATGTGAGTAAACACAAATGACAGTTTAGTGAGGGGACATGAGGCCCCAAAAGAGTGGAAGGGTTCATGACATGGTTTTAAACCTACCTCTCTTTTTCCTCATTCAATGGTGACCCAATCAATTCATGTTTGTGCCTTGTTGCTACTACATTGTACATATATATTACCTATGTAAGTGAATTCGAGCATTCATACCATATATATATGTATTGCATCAAGATCCCATGTCATAGGAAAGTAGAAAAATGCCATTGCATTGCACGATCTCTACAGCTACTCTTCGCGGACAATTTATACAGCAAATCAACAGCTCATAATATCCGGCAATCAAGAAGACGACATTTAAATGCTCTTTTCCTGCAATTGAGAAAAAGGACAAGAAATAGAGCCTATCGCTAACGTGCGCAGACCAACCTGTTTCCAACTACTCCTCGTAGGCCGGCCGTGGTGACGGAGGAGAAGGCAGTCGGGACGGCGCGTCGCGGCCGCCCAGGTCCACGGACGACTTGGTGGACGCTGGCGGGGTGGCGAACTTGGCTGAGGAGTCGCAGGAGCTCGTGAAGTTCCTGCCCGTGGCCTTCGTCGAAGTTCAGGGCGTACCTCAAGGGATCGTATTGGGAGCTCGCCGACCCATCCTCCCCCATCCCCGCCGCCGTGGTGGTGCCGGTCGCGGTTGAAGCGTCGGATGACGGTCTTCCACTGCGGTCCGGCAACCATCTCCCGCCACTCCTGCACCTTCATCACCGCCCACGTTTCGGCGGAGGAGGGGTTGGGGGAAGGGTAGCGGGGGCGCGGGCCAGGCGACCCAGTTGCAGCAGCGGCAGGGGCCGAACAAATCGAGATCGTCGACCGGCTCCAGGGTAATATCCGCGGACTCCATGGATGACCCAATCCGATCTGGCTTAAGCGGTACAGAGGCATCGATCGACGATCTATTGATTCCATCCATCGACTAAGGGATCGGATTCAACGGCTGCGAGAGAGAGAGAGGAGCTTTGATAAGGTTGTCCATCACATGCAATCCACATCTCATGATTATTACCAAGATGGCCACGTATACAAGATACTGCACTAAAGTGGATTACAGTGTGGTGCATCGGATGTTCTCCAATTGATGTCAAAATCTAACCTCCATTAACACAGTACATCAAGGACAGCATACGACGGTAAATAGATAACTCTGACAAATATTTGTACAACCCCTATCTCAGGTTTCATTACAACCGCCTCCCTACCAGGGAGAGCGAACAAGTTCGGCACACATCTAATCCAAATGCATGGTGTAAAAGGGCCCAAGGGTACTGGAACTTGACACTGTTATTTAATTGCCAATGAACTATACAATACATTTGAATCAATGATCAAAATTTCCCTCTATTGTTTAAGAACATATAAAGAGATCGAGTAGGTAATGTTTCCCTTTGAAGCGACGGTAAATTCTTGTGGCAAAGTAGTTTGAATACTCATAACCCAGGAGGGAAATTGTCGATTTGTCCTTGTTCTGATTTCTCTTGGTTGTTGACTTTGTATACCATCCTTACTCGCATCGCCAGGGCTTTCTGAAATGGCAGAAGAAAACAAAATAACTTAACAATGACATATCCAGTTTTACATCAGAAAAGATCCCACCAAAATGTTGCTAAAAAAATGATTCAGAACATCATTTGATCCTACCAATACATTGTTGACTGTTACTCTGACTTACCAAGTAGCAAAGTTTCAAACAAGAATTGCACAATGTTGATTATGATGCATTATGACATCAGAAGTTCAGAAAGCTAAATGAATCCAACAAATCATATACTTGGGTTCCTTTTTAGTTTCAGATCAACTTAAGTATATGCATGAATTATTTGAGTTCATAGGTTATAACAATTTATCTACATGTCACTTTGATTTATTCTTTTAGCTTTCAGGTTATCTATCATCTCATGTATCCTTAAATTTGAACATGAATATATCATGGCTCTCATGTTGACTTTGCAGCTTGCTTAATCTAGAATTACACCTTACATGAGTGATGTCATCGGAAAATTTAACTCTCATGAAGTATGGAACTAACAATGATCCACAATAAGAAAGCTTTACAACATCTGGATCTCATATACCTGTCCATGCTGGCTATTAGTAACAGTTAAAGTTTGTGTGATTGTCCCATTGCCACTGGCCGGAAGTTGATTGCTGCTGGCTGGGTCTAAATGTAACTGGACAAACTGCAGAGTACATAAATGTCAGCTATCATGAATCTACAGTAAAAAAATTGACAGTTCAGAAACTGCTAGCCCATCCATGTCCAATGAATATTATCAAAACCTACTAAAGGCAATTATAGATGAAAAGCACAAACATAACTGAAATTAAAACATTCATGAAATACAACTATAGCATAATATATGCAGCACTACATTATGTTCCTACATAGATCCAACGAAACTTAAACAAGCTTACCAAATTTTCACCTAATATGTGATTTCATATCTCAAATATTATTATACAGTGATCATTGTTATCCTTATATACAGAATGGTGAAAAGTTACATATTTCCATGTACATATCAGCAATGAACCTACCCGAAGAGTATAAGGATATATCATGACTAAGTGAGAGCAACACTATCCAAGCAAGTGGCATACCTTTAACAACATTTTTTTGTTAGCTCAACAATTTCCAAATGACAACTGGTGAAAATCTTAGGTGAGAAAAAAAAACAGATCTTAAGCGGGACAAGTGTTTTGTATAGAGAATTAACATGTCTGAGAATGTTTACTGTTTCAGACACCACCACAATGACACATCTGATAAATTATTGTTTGCAAGGAATGCATTTTTAAAATGAAAAGAAGGAAAAACCTAAAAGAAAGTAAACATGATAATGCTCCAAAAAGACACATCCAGTTAATATGTTGAAGTACCTTCGGGACAGCTGCTTGAAAAACAAAATCTGTATAAGCATCAGATGACAAATTCACAAATGTAGCATGGATTTTGTTAACATGTGGTTTTTCAGGCTGCTTTGTGAAGCTGAACATGATCTTCAAGGTGCTGCTCTCGAAAGCAGTGATAGATGGATAAACTGGAGTTTGAGACCCTGTTCAAGCACAAATGTAACCTCACCATAATTTTTACTGCTCTATCAACAACACTAATAATCAAGCAAATTTACCTGGAAGAGATCCATTTGATGGTAAACCATCCAACAAATCCATTACTTGGATGGTGGTAGGAACAGGCTTGGTTGTTGGTGCAAATCCTAAAATAAAACATTATTTTAGAGCCTAAAAATATAAAGCTGAGGACAAATACCTCATATGATTCAGTATTTGACAACTTAAGTCAACTGTTACCTTGGTTGGAGGAGACAACTTTAGATGCTGTATCATTCTGAACAGGTGTTCCAATAGATAATAGATCCATAAGAATATCTGTACCCCCCGATGGAGCAATGCCTTGATATACAAGAAAAGCATCCAATCAATATTCCTCCAAATTAATCAAAATAATCAAAGTTGAAAGACACAAAAGGTACTTTTAATATGTAACTGGCATAAATGCATGCTAACAAACACATCACATATTTGTCAGAATATTTAAATATATCCTGATATATGGATTTTTTGATTGATTATCGATAAAAAAGATGAATAATTACATGTATCCACAATCTAACTTACTGTCAGAATGGTGTGTGCCAACCGGCATTCACCGGTCCGATCATACTCTGTTAACAAACTATACAACTGAGCATCACTTTGTATTCCACCATTGTATTATTTTTCATTGAAAAATGATGGTACAGTTCAATTCTCCAGTTGGCATCTTGTACCATACTAATTCAACAAGTTGCCAAAACTAATACTATGGATCAGTATTTAGCACCTTGCTTGCCTCATATAAAAAGTGTGTGATTACTTCAAGCTATGCCATATATAACATAATTGACATATACAGCATTGCAAACCTTTAACTAATAGTATTGCATTATTTAATCCATATCATATCGTACTTATCTGATATCTGTAACATCGTCTTCGTATTTATATCTATATCCATGCTTCAGTGTTCAACTGACTTGTCACAAAGAAATTATGTTAGCGAAGCAAAGACCATAGCTATGCACACTTTGCACCCAGATATATGTAACATAGAAAGAAGAGATTCTTGTTAGTCTCATGTCTGTTTAAGCCACAGGGTCTACATACTGAAGTGCTGGCAAATGGGAACTTTTGCCAACCACAGCCTCGATACTGAGGGGTCCAAAGGTCCCCACACCTGCCTTTGCAACAAAAGCAAAGGTTGCCACTAGATTCAATAATTTACAAGAAATATGAGTGATTCACAACTGTTACAAACTGCATAACACACTGTTTAGCACTGATCCCATGAGTCGCTGGTGGTTTTGGCCTTTGGCATTTAGCTATTATTGATGAATGTTGACTTTGGAATGCTTTTTTCAACATATGAAAGGTAGAAAATATACTAATTATATAGCATATACTTAGTATGGTAACTTCTCAAATTTGGTTGTTTGAAACTCTGAATTATTCTGTCGCTTGCAAAGGTGAACTTTACTGCTACTTAGAATTAAAAATATTGGACTGACACCTTCATCAACACATAACAAAAGACGATCAAATTAATTGATGCAAAGTACAACTCAAACTAATACATGCAATCGTAAATCAGATTATTTTATGCAAACACAAATAGGAACTCAACCTAAACATGTAAAAAATGTATACAGAAGTACGAATATTATATATGAAATAAAAATATTAAAACCTGAGGATGGTGAGTTTGTCAAGCCAATGCCCAACAAGTCATGCAGAAAATCATTAGAGGTTGAAGAAGGAACTGATGTATCATCAGCACTGAGATCAAGTAAATCAACCAAGGGAGCAGCAGGTGGTTTCGCGACACCATTTGGAAATTTAAGTGTAGTTGCAGTTGAAGATGGTTGGCTAGATTTATCAGCTACAATGTTTGCTTGTGAAGAGCTAGTTCTCTTCCCAATATAAGCCGACTCATCCAGAACAGGCATTCGTTCAACCAAAGAAGATCTGCATATGCATCAATTATTCTGAAAATTAAAGTATAAGATTTTATGTGAAATCGTACTTGTACTAAACTAATTGCTTACTTTATGTTTTGATGTCTCTGGATTATAGAGTTGAATTCAATTGCTCTTTGTTGCAATTCAAGTGCCACACTTCCTTTATGCACTGTAATAATCTCTTTTATCCTCCTGAACAATTGATTGAGAATAAGGTTAAGACCAGAAATCCTATAACATCATAATGTAGATACAACAACAACGAGTTGTTGCAGATAGATTCATTTCAATGATTAGGAGCATATAAAAAATTGTGAGAGGAAAGAGATATCCACTGACAACTAATCTTTTCCTGACTCAATGATACAGACAAAAATTTCCTTGAGTAGTGATACAGGTAAACACTGTTGTTAATAGTTGGAGAAAACAAACAGACATGTAAAAAGCCTCACAAGATAAATAGAACTTTGAGAATATGTAGCAAAGAATAATGGGTTAGGAAAATTTAAAGATGTGCACTGACATTCAGAATAGAAGAGAGATTTTTTAGACTCAGAAATGAAACAAGCATAACAATACAAAATTATTTCTTTTAATTGGCATGTTTTTACATAGGTATAATTTGTCATATTCAAGCAATTACTTCGTATGCATGATATATGTGACTGCATAAAACTAGACCAAGAACTGGAAGTCCAAAACAGTATGCATGAAATGTTATGACCAGACTTTTAAATTTTCCACCTGAGACTGTCTGACACATACAGCAGATGGACTTTCTTAGGTGTCTTGATAGGTGCAGAGAATTCCTCAAATATTCTGCTTAGTTTGGACTAAGAAAATGAGCTTAAAAAATAATACAGAATTCCTTAAAGATTCTGTTAGTTTGGACTTGAAAAATGAACTCCCAAACAAGGTATGCAATTTCGTACCGTACCGGAGTTTCGACGTTTGTTCGGTACGGTACGAAACTGTATACCGAGCGGTATACCATTCGGTATATATATATATATATTTTTTTTTTTTCTTTTTTTTTTTTACAAAAGGCGACATCGCATCGCCTCGGCGACGTCGCCTTTTCCTTCTCCCACTCAGGGCGACGTCGCCGAGGTGACGCGAC